TGTCGATTTAATTGCATTGAGATTAAGAAGTCTTAAACGTCAGTTCTCATCGAATATCGTGTGCGATTATTACGCGCCAGGATTACGGTAACGACATCGTGAATGACGCATTCGTTATCCTGTGTCGAGGAAACCCGTTCCTAAATCGAGAACGAGAAACGCGACTTCCTCATTGTTAGCCTTCGTGACTCACAGCCGTAGAAAATCAGGTGCCTGCGAGAGCCGAGCCGGCTCGTAGCTCTGCCGGATCGTTTGCATAATACTTTCGTTCAACGATCAAACCACTTTGTGGTATTTTTCGCCCCGGCGTGCGTGGCGCGGCGCGGCGCGATAATCCAGCGTGGGAAATGAAAGCGTTTCTCTCTTATCAAGCTTTTCCTAGCTGCGACGCTCAACTGGTTCTCAGATGCTTGTTGAGCGCCCGAACCGCCCGAACGTGTTTTGAAATTGTTCTCGATAAATTGGCGATAAATTGAGGTAGAGTGCGCGCGGAACGAATATTGTCTTTACAATTTAATCTAAAGGTGTAATTTCATGCAGCGAAGCTAGCAAAGCTAGCTTTTACCCCTCTCCTCCACTCCACCTCAATAAAAAAATAGTGTAAAAACCTTGGCTGTGCTCCGATATCCATTGAATTATAATAGTCAGTACATCGAATAATGGAGCAATATAGACTTATAACGACAACCACAGTTGCAGTAGAGATTAAGAGACGACGCATAATCGCTGCATTGGCAATGATACATTTACTAAAAAGAAAAAAATCGTATAAAAGAAAAAATATTGGGTGGCACCCATTCTCGAAGATCGCCGTACCGTAGCAAAATAACCGAAATAAATGAAATAGAAATAAAAGTCAATTATTTTCATATAAAAAAAAATATATATATATATATTATATTGTATAAAAAATACGTATACAAAAATACATCGAAATATATCATAGTGATCTGTAATCATGGTTGTTGTTTCTTTGCGATATTTATAATTTGCAATAATTTTAATGTTATTTCGTCCAGAAATTAGCGGTACTTCTCTAAATTGGACAGCAATTAGAATTGTAGCCACTTTATCAGTTTGTGATGGAAAAATGAACGATGGCATGGCATCGTAACTGATTGACTGATGGCATGAGCAATTGTATTAAAATATTTTTTATAATCGTCCATAGAGCGACGCTTGCTATTACCTAACGATCAGTAAATTTAATTTCACAAAAATTTATAATTTTATTTTTTTTCAAATATAAGAAAATAACAAATAAGATTATAACTCACGTGATCCACGACTACTGTTACTACTGATGTCATCATAAACAGTATCGTCGTCTTATTATTAAATTGTTCATATTCTTCGTGATCTTCAGACGCTAGAATATTTGTTGTAGTTTTATAATGTAAAATTTTATTTTAAATTTGCACGGATGTAATAAATGTAAACAAAAATATATTGCTGTATTAAGATGTTTGTATGTTTGTAAATTTTAAACATATATACTCGTTTTCAAGCTGTACATCATAAAGAAATTGCATTCGTTCATAATGCACCCAATTTTCGTGATGTCCTCGCTGAGCCATTCGGTTGACGCTGCCTATTTTTGCAATGAATCGCAATAGCGATTTCTATTTCTTTTTCAGAATTGGAATGTCCATTGTATCTAGAAGATATAAAAATATGTAAAATATATAATTTAAATTTTATATTCCAATTAAATTATGAATATAGAATTAATACATCTTACCAATCATCGATGCAGCTATTTTTGTCCACAGTTTTTTTTATATTTGGCTTCGCTCGGAAAGAGAAAGTTCAAGCTGGACGTTTATAGATTTCTTCAATTAAATGTTCTTCCTCCATGACTTTTTTATTTCGCCAATCAGAGAGTGCGATATTATTCTCTTGGTTTGTTGACTTGAGTATCCATGATGATTGCCTCTATACTGTTAGATATTAAAAAGTCAAATTTCACTCAATTTCTTAAGTTAAATAATTTTAGTTGCTTTTAACTATCATATATGTTGAAATTCTAACTATTTATTTTAACGAAAAACATGTGTTTAAAAAAATAACTATATCAAATTAACTCATTTATGTAGTTAAAATACTTAGTTGAAAGAAATATTTAGTTGAAAGAAAATAGCGCTATTCAATAAAACTATTCAATAAAACAAATGAATAACGGCCATGTGCTAGGAGCGATACAAGTGTCGTGTAGAGACAGCGCGCGTACGTCGCGACGAGTCACAACGTGTCTTGATATCGTCGAATAAACACGTTGTATCTTCGAAGAAAAGATTATGTTAATGTTATTTATTTGTGATTTCTAGTGAATAGAAATTTAACCAAAAGAAGAAAGTTATAAATCAAATTGTCTTCGTCATCAAATCTTCGTCTTGTACTGTTATGTTTTTTATTGTCGTGTATTTGTAACATTTGGTTGTGAAAATCATTTTCATACTTATGTTGTGCGTTATTCAGAAGATATATGTAAAAAAATTGATATAAAAAAAAATCAAAAGGATTGAACCAAACTAGTAAATATGTATATATAATGATATGAATGTATCATATAATTAAATTATTAGAAAAATCCATGAATTAATGAATTATTTTAATTTTTAATATAACATATTAAATAACGAAAATAAAAAGCAGTAAATTAATATACTACTATATAATATATACTAATATATACTTGTGTTTTTTTGGCGCTGCCAAAGATGTCCCATAATTTTAAAATTCTATAATAAATATCTATATATCTTTTATAATTAATTTCTCTTTCATTTCACCGGCAACATTTTTGTAGCTGTTTGTAGCGTTACTTTGCTATTAGTTGGATAATGTCAAACTTTTCAGCATGCCTTCGCTAGTTCGCTGTATTCATCAAAAATCGATGGAGAATAAAAGCTAGCTTTGCTTCGCTGCATGAAAAAGCAGTTTTGTGGTGAGACACACAGTTTATTCGCACGAGGCTGAAAGAGGAGCGGATGAGACGAGCATACACACACATATATATATATATATATATATATATATATATAATAATACACA